TGCAGACGAAGTGCAAGACACAAATACTTGGGGTATAGGAGAGGACAATGAAGTACGAGGTGCAGACGAAGTGCAAGACACAAGTACTTTAGATATTAGGAGAGGATAATGAAGTACGAGGTGCAGACGAAGTGCAAGACACAAGTACTTCAGAGAGAGAACGGGGTAGCCGAGTATAAGGTGCAGACGAAGTGCAAGACACAAATACTGGGCGTACCAGATAAGGAGTATAACAAAGTACGAGGTGCAGACGAAGTGCAAGACACAAGTACTTTAGTTATTAGGAGAGGATAATAAAGTACGAGGTGCAGACGAAGTGCAAGACACAAGTACTTTAAAGAGAGAACGGGGTAGTCGAGTATAAGGTGCAGACGAAGTGCAAGACACAAATACTAGGCGTACCAGGTGAGGAAAGATAACAGAGTACGAGGTGCAGACGAAGTGCAAGACACAAGTACTCTGAAATGTCGAGGAAAAGAGTATATAGGTTAGAAAAGGAATAAACAAAAATTTAACTTTAAACAGTAAGCCGGACAGCGACAACCGAGTACTGAGACTGATGAATGACACAAGGCACTGGAGTCGACTGACCACGATGGTCAGGTCTATTGGGTTTTTATAATAATTACACCTATTGCCGATTTGGCAATAAATATTATTTGTTAATTCACCAGTCTCAGGCAGCGGATGTGCTGTCTGTATTTTATTAAAATAATTCTCACGATTATGAAAACGTGACACCATCACAGATAATTCACAACCTTTGTAATATAAAAAGTCTCCACCTACACCATTGACTTTATCACCTAGACGTTCCGCAAAATATTGTAAATCTCGATAATTTTTCAATAGTTTACTAACTATTTTGAAAACTTTTTACGTCGGACCGCATTCAACAAGAAAATTCAATTTATCTGATATATCATTGAAATAATCCATCTTGCGCGCACAATAGATTAACAAATACTGAGAACCTATTAGAAATCAGCATACAATGCTATGCTGCTGCCCCCTCCTCTCCAAACATGTTTTAGATAATTAATTTGTGATAACGGATGAGGCGTATACGACTAAGATCTTAAAATATTACTAGATAAATGATTGTAATGAATGAGTCTTATTATGATAGTGATGTTAACCATTGTCAGATATCAGTTATACTTGTTCCTACTGTGCCGTCGCCCTAATATGCTAGGTGTTTTCATCGTGAAAAAAATATTAATAAAAAAATGCATATAAAATCCATGCATATTTTAGGTAAGAACGCAGTATAGTCGGATTCCGCCAAAGTGGACTAGAGTATAAATTGATAACTATGTTTGATTGACTATATTTGACATCACTATTGAATGAACGCAGCGCCCCGTAGTATTCACGCGTAGTTAACGTTCGTGGTTTTATTTTGTCTTAAGTCTTTAGCTATGTCAAGGATAAGGAATAAGATGAGTAGACTGTATGTTTGAGTGAATTTTACAAAATACAGGGTGATTTTTTTATCATAACCCACTCAATTACTTACAGAGTAATAATAATTTAAACATTTTTTTTTTTTTGGTTATCTTTAGTTACAGATTATTATTGAATTATTAACTATGTAATACTTTTTAAGTTCATCCCTTATGCCTGGCAAAGGTGTCAACTTTGTTTTTTTAAATGGTAACACATATTGTTAATTTAATAAAATGTTTGAGTTTTTAATTCAAAAGTAAACGGCATTTGAATTTTTAATGAAACTTAATTTGATTATTAGATATAAACATTTAAAGTTTCAAATTTTCGAGTTAATATATAGGTATTATACCTATATATTAACTTGTGAATTATACACAAGGGATTACAAATACAGGTAGCTAATTGGTTTTTTATGATATTGCTAACACTTTCACGGATTGTTTATTATCAATTATGACTATCAATAGATATACTTTTTGTATTGTCTGTTAGTGTATTTATAAACTCACAACAATGTACCTTACTATCATTGATAATAACAATGCTGTGTACCTGCTAATATCGATATCATAAAAAATAAATAAGCTACCTGTATTTGTAATCCCTTGTGTATTATACCTATATATTAACTCAAATTTTGAAACTTTAAATGTTTATATCTAATAAACAAATTGAGTTTCATTAAAAATTCAAATGCCATTTACTATTGAATTAAAAACTCAAACATTTTATTAAATTAACAATATGTGTTACCATTTAAAAAAACAAAGTTGACACCTTTACCAGGCAAAAGGGATGAACTTAAAAAGTATTACATAGTTAATAATTCAAGAATAATCTGTAACTAAGGATAATAATAAAAAAACGGTAGCACAGTGGGGTCGCGGCATAGTGGAGACATTGCATAGTTGGGTCCAGTATAGATTTAATCTGACAGTGATTAAAATCACTATCATAAGAAACGCTTCGATGCAAATCTNTCACTATAAAAAAAAAACGCTTCGATTCAAATCTTTAGATAGTGTTTAATTTTAAAAAATTGGTGGATTATTACAAAAGCTACATGATCTGCTAGTTCATTATTAATATCCTAATTAAGATAAAGTATGTCGAATGAAAAAGGGATTATTAAAAAATATTATTTCTCATAAAAAAATAATGTTAATGCATACACTTTTCAATATGAAATAGAATTATAAAATTAAAAATATAAAAAATAAAATCGAGAATTTTCACACAATAATAGCATTCGGTAGCCATTTTCACCGTGAAGATAAGATAAAGTCCGAAATTTTTTTTTTTCATGATGAAGTATATTACATTAGATTTAATTTAAGATATATATAAAAGTGTCAGACTTTTAATAATAAATGCAAAATCAACATCAACTTCTATTAAAATAAAGTACAAAACCCATATTTTAATACAAAAATAGCATATTTTTGAATACGACAGCCATTTGCGTATAGAAGATAGGTCGTCGGGACAAATTTTCAAAATTTAAGTTGAAAAAATAATTTTTTGTAAAAATTTTGTTATTTTAAATCCCCCCCAATGAGCAGGTTAAGTGTTAGATTTTCAAAAAAATGATATCAAATGAAAGGGAAATTTCTAAGGTTTCAATACAAAAAAATATTATTTTTATTTGTTAATTTTTGAAAAAGTTATGGCAGTTTTAAGCACAAAAAACATCCCGATAAAATGTAATTTTTATCGCAAACATTACATTTTTTTTTAAATTTTCGACAGCCATTTGCACATAGAAGATAAGATGTCGGGACAAATTTTTTTTTTTCATTTGATAGTATATAACATAACCTTTGATTTGATATATGTTTAAAGGACGCAGTATTTCCGGAACATTTTCAAAAATTAAGTTGAAAAAGTTATTTTTTGTAAAAAAGTTACTATTTTAAATCCTCCCAGTGAGCAGAATAAGTGTTAGATTTTCAAAAAAAATTATATCAAATGAAAGGGAAATATCTAAGGTTTCAATACAAAAAAATATTATTTTTATTTGTTCATTTTTGAAAAAGTTATGGCAGTTTTAAGTACAAAAAACATCCCGATAAAATGTAATTTTTATCGCAAACATTACATTTTTTTTTAATTTTCGACAGCCATTTGCACATAGAAGATAAGATGTCGGGACCAATTTTTTTTTTTCATTTGATAGTATATAACATAACCTTTGATTTGATATATGTTTAAAGGATGCAGTATTTCCGGAATATTTTCAAAAATTAAGTTGAAAAAGTTGCTATTTTAAATCCCCCATAATAAGCAGGTTAAGTGATAGATTTTCAAAAAGTTGATATCAAATGAAAGGTAAATATTTAAGATTTAAGTATAAAAAAAATTATGTTAATTTGTTGATTTTTCAAAAAGTTATGGAAGTTTTAAGAAAAAAAAGTGAAAAAATTTCGAAAATTAGCGATTTTTAAATTTGTAATTTTTTTGGATANTTTGTTGATTTTTCAAAAAGTTATGGAAGTTTTAAGAAAAAAAAGTGAAAAAATTTCGAAAATTAGCGATTTTTAAATTTTTAATTTTTTTGGATATTTCCCCTATTTGCGGGGAACGAGAGAATTTTTTTCAATTTTTAAGGGTAATGTCTACAACTAGATACGATTTGTGATCTTTTGACGTATTTTTGAAAGAAATTGGTCCAGTGAGAGCTGAGAAAAAGTGGCAACAGACATAAAAAAAAAAAAAAAAAACACATCATAGTAAAATTAATATCTTCTCCGCTTCGCATCGAAGCTAAAAAAATGTTTAAATTATTATTATTCTATAAGTAATTGAGTGGGTTATGATAAAAAAATCACTCTGTATAATTATAACAATTAAATGTATTATACAAGAAATATAAAATGTTATATTATATTAAAATGTTATATTATATCATAAGAAGTATTTGGTAAAAAGATACTAAAGTTTCTGTTTACTAACATTTTATTTATTGACATAATATATATTATATATCATATGTTATAAAATAAGTAGTTTTAGAGATAAATAAATAATATTCTTATACAAAAGCCTTTTTTTATGTGATATACATTAATTGCTTAATTAATGTATGATTTATTTATGTACATTTATAAATTAAACACGTTTATAAATAAAAAATTAAAAAAATGATAAAAATTAATAAGTGACTAGAATAACAACTAAATTAATATATGTCGATTGACCAAAATTAAACAGTTACACGTAAAAAAATGACTAATTAGTAGTCTTAACATCAATAGTAATTATATAATACAGAAAGAATACTTAAGTTATTTTTGCTATAAATTAATCTATCTTGATAACTTTTATGATAAATTTATGGCCATTATTATAAAACTAAAATTAATCACGAATATTTTATATTGTAAAAAGAAATAATCTCATTGATAATTTTTCAGTTACCATAAGTTATCACTCAAGATCATACACTCGTAGTTTTTATTTTATATTTAAATATCCAAAGTATAAAATTATGAATGTAGTTTCTTTGGGACGTGGATGGGGGTCGCATTGGCTAGAACACCGAGTGNCGGGGGTCACATTGGCTAGAACACTGAGTGGTAAATTACTAAATACCATGTATCGTGTTTTTAATTAAAAGAAAAACCACCCACGTCAATGCCATCACCTCCACCACTGGCTTCCGTATTTACATTCACATGCCTCGATCCGAACCCGTTGAGCTGCGACTCTCCTCAGAGTCAAGAAGCGAGTGACCACCATAAGATGTGTCATCTGCACCACCACTACCACCGATTGATATCGCTTTTATAGACGGTGGCATGCATTCTGAGCACGCGCCTCGACCTTTGTCCGACTCTAAAGTCATATAGACCTTTCCACACCTACCACATTCTTCTTGAGTTTCACCTTAAAACAAAAAAAATTCCCATTAAAATATTATTGCAAAACATTCTTTAAAATATATTGTACAGTAAGATAAATGTTTAATTTTACCATTAATTTACAAATTATTAACGTTTAATCCGACTATAGTCACGTACTTTACTGAAGTAAGGTACTATATTTCTAGGTGGAAAATGCTTGTACTGTGTTATTATTGTANGCCGATTGATGTCGCTTTTATCGACGGTGGCATGCATTCTGAGCACGCGCCTCGACCTTTGTCCGACTCTAAAGTCATATAGACCTTTCCACACCTGCCACATTCTTCTTGAGTTTCACCTTAAAAAAAAAATTTCCATTAAAATATTATTACAAAACATTCTTTAAAATATATTGTAGAGTAAGATAAATGTTTAATTTTACCATTAATTTACAAATTATTAACGTTTAATCCGACTATAGTCACGTACTTTACTGAAGTAAGGTACTATATTTCTAGGTGGAAAATGCTTGTACTGTGTTATTATTGTAGGGATACGATGGGCACTTTTTATTAAAACCGCCAATTATCTGTTGAATCAACTAGTCGAACTGTGTTCACCCTAATGGGTAATTCGGTGGGCGTAAGCACGCGAGACAATATTACATAAATACAAGATATCAAGTCTATTAATTTGGGTAGAGTAATTTTGTAATTTTTTTTTTTTCAATGTACACAGGCGCCACGAATGTTGCTGGGACAATTTTCGGCGACGGCTCTAGTATTTTTCATTTAAAGGATATAGAATTTGCCAATGGTGGTAAAAAAAACATTAAGCACCATGTATTTAGACCAATATCGTCTATGAACGGTCGTTAATTTTTGAGGGAATGTACACACGAGCAAAACACTGATATTATTGCTGTTCAAAAGACGATATATTGTCTAATTACGATCCAACAAACGCCCACGATATCCTATGGATTGCAAAATCCATGTACAAGATAACAGTATGGGAAAAAGTGAAAAATAATAAGAAGTTGCAATCTAACTCAATATTTTTATATTTAATCAATTCGTAAAAATATCGATATCAATATAATAAATTACAATAAAAATTCTTCAGTAATGAAGAACTTCAACCTCAGATAAATACGTAAACACCCTAGTATAGGTCATATCGTTGGAATTTATATTGAATTCGCAAATTTTTTTTTCATCTATGATACCCTTCTATGTTCTATGGATATATAGAAAGGGTACCTATGATATCTTTTCTATATATCAACTCACCTCATTTCATTAATTCAACATCATCTTTATTCGTACACTGCCTAAACCATTAATACTTCTCTCATTTATAACGATGACATATTTTTTTGTTAAACGCTACAAGGGCCTTTTTCATAGTACACTTTTTCACAATTAAAATATATACGAATCAATATATTCTACTTATCATCAACGGTCAAAATCTTATGAACCTAAATTTCACTATAGTGTAATGAAATGATTTCGTGCAATTTATTCGATTGATGTCTGCGACGATTCACATCAAAGTGGCATTAAGGGAATTGTGCAACTATCAAGTAAGTGGTTACCAAAAAAAAAATACACACCACTATTTATTATTATATCAAATTATTATTAGTGCGGATCGGACTGTGCACCGTCGTGTCTTTGTGTAATACATTTGGCTTACGAAAATTATACGTTATACTTACACTACCCGTCGGTGAACGCCCCTCAAATACACTCGTATCCAAAAAACGCACCAGCACACTATCGTTATTACCGTAATGAATTGACATACACGTTCTACGTGATTTCAAATGTTTGTCTCATACGGACCACATGATAATAAATATAGATTTATATGAAACATACGATTAACCCGCACAAAATATGAATTGACTACTCCTTCTATGTTTTTATTGTAACAATATGCGACGAAAATATTTTTAAATCATTCTATTTATGATATATGAATTTTTTCCACACTTAATATCTAAATTTATAGATAAATTTGTACTCACTCTCGTGTGTTTTCATGTGTGCTCTGAGATTGCAGGCAAGCGCGAATTTCTTGTGGCATAGTTCACAAGCATGTGGTTTGTCTCCTAAAATCAAAAATAAATTGAAGGTCAGACATCAAAACATACTAATCTTTACATAATTATTATATAGTGACGTAATTTTATAAGTATTATGATGACTGTCCTCGACAGAAGTATGCAAATAGTTGAATATACGAGATAACCAACGTAGTCAAAAAGATAATTTCTCAGTTTAGTAATATCCAACTAATGAATAAAAGAGTGAATAATTTGTCTTCATTTAGAAGTGGGGAAGATGATGAAGGTTTATATATATGATAGAAGGAATATATTTGCCTTGAGGATTATACTAACTACGTAGTAAACCTGTGCAGGATTTGCACGTCGCGAGATGATTTTAATTAGACATCACATTGTTCAATTCAAACGTCACTGACGATTTCCATAATAAGGTAATTCCAATTGCAAAGAAATTTCTGCAGCCCTCTACTTATGGTCTTTTCTGTAGTCAGATTATTTTTCCATCACAACAACGTCTTGAATAGCACTTAACTATAGCCTATATGTATACAATCCGATCACAATAATATGCTGCTACCAGGACCTTTAAACGTTTAATTCAAAGTTCAATATATAACAGACTCTTACGATCTTATAGTTATTTTAATGGATCAAAGATTGGAATAGAAATCTCCGAATAACTTCTATACGATACATGCACATTCTACATCTCACGCAAAACAGAATATATGAATTTGTATCTTGGAGCATTGTCTGAAAGTCAATGACAAATTCCACAAATAAAATTGCACTTAAAAAAGTTCTCACATAAGTATATCAAGTATTTTATCTTCAATATGCCAGGTAGATTTCATTCATTAAAATAAAGTATTTAGATATTATTGTCAATAAGAATAATAACACATATATATTACAAAACGGAATAATCATTATTTGTTGTATATCAGTAATCGAGGTAAAACATTTCTCTACTAAGAATAAAAGTAAGAAAAAACAAGAACAGGTCAAATCGCCAGTGTATCTAAATTACGATAATTATTATTCTAAAGAAAACGGGTTTTACTCTAAACTGTATCTGTCCAGTTTCCCATGCAGACACCTTCAACTACATAATTTGTAGCTGGCTACTAGAAATCGTGTAGATCCAGTAGCCATACGGGATTTCATTTAATCCAGAATGCATATTAAAACGCACAATATTATATTTTCTTGGGTTTTCCGTGGCAAAATAGTTTCATTATAATAATTTAATAGAGTTTGGTGAGATAAAAA